TTGTTTGTTTCGGATGAATAATCTTTCAATCATATTTACCATTTTAAAACAGGATATGCAAAGTTTATAACTTTGAAAATAATAAGCTTTTAAAAATTCACACATACACACACACACACACACACACACACACACACACACACACACACACACACACAGATGATTATGAATAGTGATAGTAGATTAAAGCATCGAATTAATTTGCATATTTATAATAATCATGCTTTCATCATTTTCATGCTATGTATGTTCAGTTAGATAGAAAGTAATAAAAGAGCAATGAAAGAAGAGAAATCAAGCGACATTAATGCCCGTTTCGTACGAATGTAGACTGACTTTAATCGCGATTTAACTTTTTCCTCACCTTTTTGTAGTGCTAAGAATTAGAAAAAAATGAAGAATAAGTTGAACCAAGAGATTAAGGTTAATTTACATTAAAAAACGGGCATATAAATAAAGTAAAATTGTATGAAAAGTTAGTTAATATTGTGATATATTATGGATATTAAATTCGATCCGGTAACTTCAAATTTTTTGTGCGCTATCATTTTATTTTTATATCTTTTACTTTGTGTTATTAAAGTTTACATAAGTTTAATCGATGGAGAGCAGGAAGAGAACTAAGAGAAAGGCTCGACTGTAATTTTGTTTACGTGAATCATACAGTAAAGTAGTAATTACGCATTTGCATTACCATGTCAGAGAATTGCAGAAGGCGGCGAATCCGACCACCACAGTTCCGATAACGAAGAGTACGCTCCTTAAACTTGAAAGTAGCGTTGGCGGAGTTTGATTCTTCGAGGCATCGCTAATAGCGGGGGTTGCTGTAAATAATAAAACCGATGATAGAAAGTGTAGTCTTAAATCAAAAGTGAAAGCGAAGCATAATCTGCTACGTGATAACGTAGGATTTGCGACTCTTGTAAAAGTTATCGCAATTTCTACTACCGAAGCAAAATAATCTCCGAGCAAAGTCTCGTTTTGGTTTCGTCACATTACTATTAATTATCACTATTTTGATAACAAATTCTATAAGATTATTTTCAACCAATAAAGTTAATATTGTACATAGTATATATGTGCATCATTTTTCAGAATAATTTGTTTGTTATTAATATGTGAAAGGGCTCATTAAAATTGCCTGCTTAGCCTCCTTATTACATAATTTTTTGATTAAACAAAAAGTATTCGATTTTTATTTTTTAAATTCCAAATAGAGGCTATAATAATTATGTAATTTTTAAATTAAATTTTTGTTATAAGAAAAGAACTAATTGGACGTGTACTAGATATTAAATTTGAATAATTGTAATGTATGAAGAAATCAAAATTGTCAATATAGATTTATCTAATGAGATATCCCTTCAAACACTTGTCAGAGCGCACTCGTTTATTTTGTTAGAGTGTCCGTGCGATGACGCATTGAGGCATTGCGAAAAGACTGATCAATGGTAATTCCATTATGTAAGACAAATCAGTATTCCATTGATGTATGTGACAGTTCGATTCGAAAACTAGTCACGAAGCAAAGACAAGCGGAAAATTTCAATTCTCACTTCATGTTCATCGCAAAATTCGTTCAATATCTGACAATTAAGATGGGACAGCAGGTTGATACAAATGACACTGAAAATTATTATGCTATATAATGTAAAAAACTGGAAAATTGTGATAAATAATTTTTTTTGGTATTTTTGGTAAAGTTGTTTCTAAATTAGGCAAAGAATTAACCGTTAAAAAGATATTCAGTGGTTTTGAGACATTCTGTAGGATATATGTAAATCGAAAATTTAAAAAATATCTTCGATGAGAAAATAATGTAATGTATCGAGCTATTAATAATAATTACTTGTTATACTCAATTTTAATATTGTATTTAATTGTATATAATTGTATATTATACGTAATTAGACGCTATAAAAAAACTGTAATTACTCGACAATTACAACATATGCGTCTCATCTTGTATTCGACCGATTTTTTTCAGATAAAATGTCATGATCTAATTTTCACATAATTTCTCAACATCTCAGAGAAATCCTAAAAAAATTATTTAACGAAGAAAAGATGCAACGTAATTGATAAAAAAACCTTTTTAAATTTAAATTGTGTTAAACAAATTTTATATAAAATTTATAAAAAGAGAACCGTATCCTTCGAAATTATTATATAATAATTATACAATAATAATAATTATACAATGTAAACGTATATATATTCCAATACGGTATAAAAAAAACAAATTATTAAAATGTAACGTAAATCAAGAACAATGCAAAATAAACGTATCATTTTTTGTTGTTATGAAGAACTAACCATTATTGTAAATGCGATGACACGATGTCAAAGATACTTTGTGAAATATGCAATATTTTAATATGCAAAACTTTAATGTCGACTATATACTTCGTGTTGCTTTTTGCTGAGCAGTCCTGTCTATTTTACTAGTAATTTGGTCACGTTTTGCGATAAGGTACTGCGAAATTGCAACATTTTATCGTTTTATCTTTCGTTCCACAAAAAATAATTCTCACATTACTCTTCTTATTTTGCGTTATATCATTTATTATCTTGTGATATCATATATTGAGAAATGTGTCATTACGTCGTATAATTATAATTATTCATTATTTATAAACTTTTTAATAAATTTTACATAAAATTCATTAATATTCATTTATATCCTTAGTAAATTATAATGTTTGCTGTTTCGCTTTAAAAAATTCATTAATATTTAAATAGCAAACTGTGTAAATTTCCATCCTAAGTTATAAAGTTTTCCATCTCATTTTTTGACGTTATTTTTTTATTTATCTATTTCTACGCTGTTCTACATGTTTACCTTCGGTTTTATCATTTAGGCTGCGTTCGTTTTGGCACTCACAGTGCTCACAATATCATTTCATCTTTGTTGTTTATGAAATGTTAAAGGAGAACAAATGATGCTTATAAGCGCTGTAAACGCCAAACCGAACGCAGCCTTAGCATACTGACTATATATATCCTTAGTAAATTATAATGTTTGCCGTTCCGCTTTAAAATTCATTAATATTTAAATTGAAAATTGTGTACATTTCCATCCTAAGTTATAAAGTTTTCCATCTCACTTTTTGACGTTATTTTTTTGTTTATCTATTTCTACGCTATTCTACACGTTTATCTTCGGTTTTATCATTTAGCATACTGACTATATACCTATATATTCTTAGTAAATTATAACGTTTGCCGTTTTGCTTTAAAAAATTCATTAATATTTAAATTGCAAACTGTATAAATTTCCATCTTAAGTTATAAAGTTTTCCATCCCATTTTTTGACGTTATTTTTTTATTTATATATTTCTACGCCGTTCTACATGTTTACCTTCGGTTTTATCATTTAGCATATTGGTTATCTCCTTAGTAAATTATAATGTTTGCCGTTCCGCTTTTTAATGTTATTTTTTTATATTTATATATTTTTTATTTGTTTCTATTTATAGTTGTTCTACATGTTTATTCTATATCTTCGGTTCTATATCATTTCAATACTGTGTTACTATATAAATACGTCTTAATTTTTAACTATTGTTCACATTTTTAAGTATTTTAATTACGAACTTTCGTTTGACACTGATTAATTTTACGGCTTCTTTTACATCTCAAATTTTTTATTGTAATAAATTGCTGAAACGTTCATATATATTTTAAGTTAAAATAAACTTTGATTACTTTATTAAATCACATATTTAGATCCGCATTGGACGCTCATTAGTCTTTTTTCCATTTATTGTTTTTTTATATTAAGTAAAATTGAGAGCTTTTATTAATTTTTGTTAAATTAAGAACATTTTTGCCAGATACGTATTTTCTTAAAATTATACCTATAAGTTAGTATAATTGTAAATAAAATTAATAAAATTATAATTAACAAAAGTAATAAATTAAATACAACATTAATTAATTGTTATTATAAAATTATTACAAAACAATAATATTGATAATGAATGTTTTTATTTATATTATGTTTTATTTTTATAGATATAATAAAAAAATGATATGTACTTGTTCAAATTTTTATGAAAACAACTTTCTGCAATACATTCTATAAATATTGTATCGTCATTTCAAGAATGGCTGCAATATATTTTTGAATATATCAGGAATATTGTAAAATATCTTTTAAAATTGATCATAAGAATATTAGTGTGCAAGCTTTCAGGGATATTTAATAAAATATTTCAATTCTGCAAAATACGAGTAATATTCTTGCAACATTATACCAATATTTTGTACTAGAAGTTAAACATTCCAGTGGCGTTTACCTCATAATACATTTAGAAATCATGTATGTCCGGACACTTACATAAAATTTATTAATCTCAAATGCTTTTTTTATTATAATAGCAAAATTTAATTATAAAAATATTTAAAAATTACAATTAAATTATAATACTATAACAAAAACGCTTGAGATTAATTAATAATAAATTTTTGTGTATACGTGTCCAGATATACATAGGTACATGTCCAGTTACTGGGACGTTTATTTAAAGGATAATGTTCAAACGTGAAATAAACAATAATTGGAATTTTACGTATTCGTGCAGTGAGTTATTAACAACAAAATCATAGTGTTACCTATTACAATTTATTTAAAATATTCATATCTGAATAGAATTCATAAGAAAAAGACAAAGGAAAGGAAAAGACTCCTTTAATAAAAAGCTAAACATAAGTAGTGGAATTTGAAAATTCAGAGAGAGAAAAGAGTATATAAAATAATTTATTTAAATTATAATATATTATTATTATCTTATAAAGTATAAGAAGAATTGCAAAGTTTATAACTTATTATATATAATATATATAGCATAAAAAGACTACTCTTACGAATTATTATTTAGTATTCAAAACGTAAATTGTGAATAAAAAAAGAAATTGTTGCGCAAAGCAAATAATCGCGGGCGTTTTATCAATAAGTAATTGCCCAATATTATTATGCTGTGTACTGGCAGTATATATTAAGCAACTGCATGATTATTCAAGAATATGTACAATACATCGACCTTATGTTAAATCCAATATTGATAAGAATTGTTATGTACATACATATGACTTATATATTAGTACACATGCACTTATTTCGTGCTTTGTAACTTTAACGCATGTTCTCGTATTGCTAGTTATTTACTTATTAACTACTCTGAAGGGTATTGATCAATTGAATCGCAATAACACAATAATATCGTGAATAGAACCTCTTCAATATACGTTATTCTTCAATAATATGTTGTTTCATAAAGATAAAAATTGAAATATTAGTCACTACATAAGTAGTCAGCTGTAGTAGTATTTTTAACATCTTTCAAGAATGATTGTACGCATATCTAGAGCGTACAGTAATTGGCTCAGTGCAATCTCCGTGTGCGTCAAGATATTAGCGCGATAACCTCGAGAATTGTGTAGACTATCTAATAACTGATGCTGTTTTGTCATCACTACTTATCTATTCGTAAATATCTTGTTATTTTTCAGCTGCTTGATTTTGATTGAAAAGCCTTTCAAGAAGAACAAAGAAAAAGTTGACTTTATGCTTAGCATTAACAATGAGAAACTTTCGAAAAATAAATGTTTAAAAAACGTCAATATAACAAGAGAGAATTTACTTCGATCAATATCAAATTGACTTTATATACTTTGAAGAAATTTAATTTCGCCAAAGTATCTAATATCGAAAATAAAAAAGTTGAACGTTTGTGTAATGGCGAATTCGTTAAACTTTTACCATTAAAAGTCAATTCCGGATACGGCAAATAAGAGGTTGTCACGATAGAAAACTATATAAGAAAATTATTAATAGATTCATATCGTGGTGAGATAAAGAATAACAAGAACAAAATACAAATTCCATTCTTTTCAATAAGAAAAATATTGCTGTTTTTGCATGTAGGTGACTGAAACGTTTGTTAATAAAATTGCTTACGATGTATGTAACACATTTAATATTATTGATCAGTACATTTCCATACAAAGAAATGCATATCCATTATCTAAATTTAAAAAAAATTGATCTTCGCTTATGACATGAATATAAGTTTCTCGGACAATGCATTAAATTTGCATATAGAAACGGAACATTCGTTTTAAATCGCGCTTCGAGATGCGTAAAAACAATCATGATGCTTATCCGGTATACTTACGCAAAACACAAAAATAAAACAAAATCTTTAAAGAGACAATTTTCTACAATTTCCTCAAGTCTCAACAAAATTCCTTAAGGGGTTAGTGGCAGTCAGCAGACTAAAAAGAAGCACTTTTTGCGATTTTTTCAGAGATTTTATTGAGACTTTCAATTAAAAACATTTTAATGCTTTATAAAGTAAGTTTTCAGGAATGTTTAAAAAAATTGTCATGTAAAAATAATCATTTTTTTGATCATAACAGCTAATAACGTGGAACGACCTTTTAAAGAAGGTGACTTGCACAGCAAAGCATGAGCAAGATTTTTCGGAACTGGATCATCTGTAAGCAAAAATATGGGTGGATTTGGAAAATATATTAGTTTTGCGCTCTCTGATTGAAGAATTTTGGAAAAAATTAATTTTTTCTTTCTAATTAATTAGAAAAAAAATGGCGCACATTGGAAATGAAAAGTCAATTTTTACCTAAAAAAAAAAGCGTTTATTTTGAGAATAAAAAAAAGTATATAAGAAAATAAAAAATCCTTCAATCAGGGACTCGCAAAACTAATATATATTTTCTAAATCCATCCGTATTTTTGCTTGCAGATGATCCAGTCCCGAGAAATCTTGCTCACGGCAAGCAACCTTCTTTAAAACGCCATCAGCTGTTATGTCCAAAAAAATGAATATTTTTACATGAAAATTTTTCTAAACATTCCTTGAAACTTACTTTATAATGCATTAAATTTTTTAAATTGAAAGTATTAATAAATCTCTAAAAAAATCGCAAAAAGTGCTTCTTTTTAGCCTGCTGACTGCCACTAACCCCTTAATAAGAACTATTTAATTTCTTTAAAAACAAAATTAAATACATAAATAAATACAAAAAAAAAATTACGTGAAAAAAATTGCTGCCAAATGATTTTTTTGAGAAACTTATTTTATGAATGTTTATTATACACTTGATATTTCTAGGAAGGAACGAATAATTAAGCCTAAAAAAAGAACCTATTAATCCCAGTTAGTTTCATACAATTCATCTGTGTCGTGAAATAGGAGCAGCCAAGTCAAGTATCGAGCTTGGTACGTTAGCACTTAGCACTCACTTTTCGAGTCTGACTCTTGTGAGACACGTCGAATTATCTGCGGCCAAAACATTGTCCTAAACGAGCGATGGCGCAACTAGTTTCTCAAGAGGCTCCCGACCGAACGTGTTATACTTGATCATTCACCGCTGCAGTGCTGACTGCTGCACTTCATGTCGTTAAACGAGACGCTGCACTGACCAACAACGTTTCACGACTCGCTAGTAAAGGCCCGAGAACGACGCGTCCGTGCCCGTCGCCCCGGCGCCTCCAATTTCCTTTGTTTACGCCGCGAATAAGGTAGGGATGCCTGAGATAATTCGATAGTGTCGATGAGATCGATAAATTCGGTATTTTTTTACGATTATTTTTTATAATTATGAATATTCTCGATATCACTTTAATCGGCTGTTAAAATAATGATACAGAAATCCGCGGATGCTCCTATTTCAACACAGGTCATGTTCGAGCTTCATGTTTTTGTAAAATAGGAAATGAGATAATTATATTTCACAATATATGATAAAGAGATATATGGATGAGAGATATATGCGGACTCTACATTTTTCAATGAAAGAAATATTTTGCTTTTAATATCAAATATTTTCTGATGTTTTTTCTTCGACATTAGATAAGCAGTACAAAATAAAATATTATTGATGGATTATAAATATAAAGAAAATAATAATTTTGCAAACATTTTTTTATAGAAAGCAATATAAATGCAGAATATATAATATTTATATTTCTAATATTCCCTACCAAAAAAAGAAAGTATTAATCTACTAATTTTAATAAACTTTGAACTTTATCGATAAATCTGATGTCTTTTTTTTTGTTTAAGGGAAGGTAAAACGTGTGTGAAATAATTAAAAAGTCGATTTTTTAATTTTAATAATTTTTTTTTAATAAAAATCACAAAAATTTTGCCATTTGTTGGACTAAAAAATATTAAAAATTGCGATTTTGACAATTAAAAAAAAGATAAGCATATAATTGAATTTTTCGCTCCTTTCTTTGCTGTTCTACAAGAAGAAAATTTACATACTTTCTCCGTTGACTCCGTAAGACCTTTTTACTGTCGTTAATAATGTAACTGTTCTAGTAATAAAGAGAGGTATCTTTCGAATGTTCACTATACCGAACGAGTAGGTACGATATATCATTTCGAAGAGTGCTGTAGGCAAGTTGAGTATAGGTAACTATGGATTTAAGTGCAGCGATGTTTAATGACGGATATCATGGATGTTTGAAATGTATTAAACAATTTAAATATTCTAGTGAAAGAGCCGTCGTTTTATGCGAGACATTAAATAAGATTCAAGAGTGCTGAAATGCACAAGAATTCTGGAATTCTGGAAGAGACAACAATTGAAGAGGCCAAGATCTAACCCATCCGATCTACTTAAACAGATAATAAAGATCTTTTGTTGAAGAATTTTTTAATACCACATTTCATAATTCAAAACAATTTTGTGATGCAGGTAAATTTTATTAGTTTAAAAGTCTAATTTTAAATTTGTTTATTCACTATTATCAAATGTGTCGAAACGATTTTTACCTTCAGTTTTACTACGCTTTCGCAAGAACAATAACAGATACACAAGAATAATGAAATGTGTTCTTTTAAACTTTTCATAATTCAGTTTTTAAAAGAGTTTTTAAATTTAAATACCATTAACAAGAACAACTTTTTAAATTAGCTAAACTTACTTTAATGGAAATAGGTAATTTTTTTCGATTTCAAGGGTTGGATAAATTATGTAGAAGCTTATTTTTATTTTTTAAACGTTTTCAATACAGATAAATAACGTTTTTAAAATTTATATTTCATATGTAGATTAAATATGTTATAATATTCTTATCATTATCATTATGTATTATCATCTATATTGCACTAGGATCAAGATATTTTAAATTTTTACTTAAAAAGATTACATTTTATATTTCACGATGTAGAAATTTGCAATTTAAATAGAGAATTGTAGAAAAATTGAAAGGAAATAAATGTAAAAAAAATTAAAATAACTTTATGAGAGAAGATTGAGAATACAGTACCTGTACGTATTGATAACAGTAAAAAAAACGCAAGTGCATTGTTTGGATAGCAATTTATATTGATATAAAATTTAATTGAAACCTTTGTTTGTAAACATTCTTTACGTAAATAACATGAAATAATCTTCTATACTGTATACATAATATCTTAAGTATCAAATACAATCGGTACACTTGATAAAGAAAAAAATCGATATCTTTTTGAGAACGAGATTAAGTTAAATATCTGAACACAGCAATTATTAAGCAACTATTGCGAAAAAAGAAATACATCGCGAATTAACAAAATTTTAATTTATTAATGTTATGTTTTTGGTGTTTAATTTACTTTGAAAATAATAGTAATAATAATATACTTATGAAATAAAAAAATATTGCTAAAATTGATGTGCTATATTAGTTTATATTTAGCATTTTATTAAAATTTAGAGAACTTTCACTGATATAGATTTCTAACAATCAGATAGAGAAACAGACTACGGGCCATAACTACGCAATAAATTTAATAATGTTAATTTAATTAATCAATCGTTAACTAAATTAATCAATCGTTAAAAATTTAAAAATAAGAACAGTTATATTATAAATTCATTACCTTATGATAAAAATAAATTCAATAACAGAAAAAGGTTAGATATTTGATCCTAACTGCTTATGCAACAAAAATTTCGAATCGGTTGCACACGGAAAAGCTGAAGTATCTAATTTAGCTAAATACAGAAAATAATTTTGTTGGACCATCGAAATAATTGTAGGAAGCAATACTGTGACAAATTTTTGATATTCTAGCATCCTATATACATAATTATTTTGATAGTTTAATAAAATTATTTTCTGACCTATAGTTATTATAGCTAAATTTTTATTTATAGATAATTCAGCAAAACTGTTTTTTTCGTGCAAGAATATAGAATTTATATATTTAGTTAGGCGAAATAAAACGTCGCATTGTATGCTGATGATATGATACCGCAACAAATGAAATCTTATCGTATGAAAGATGAGACTGTGTATGTGTATGCATGGGCGTAGTGAAGGAGGGCAGGGAGGCTGTGCCCCTCTCTTTAAAGAAGAACAAAAATATTTACAAGAAATTAATTTTAAGAAAGACAAAAGAATTGAAGGCGAAAGTTATATAAGAAGATTATCTGAGAATTCAAGACGGCTAGTGTCATAAATTTAAAGTTTTTTTCAGTTCAAAAAATCAGTTTACATTTTTAAGAGAAAAATAAAGTAAATTAGTAAAATTAAATACTTGTGATTTTAATTTATCCAGTAATTAATTAAAAATAATAATATAAA